AGGCAACTCAGGCGTGACAGTTTTAGACTATGACCAAATCTCACACAAACCATTATCAGAATCTTGTTTCACACCATCTCTCTTTTCAGACACAGTTATTTAAAGAAACTCTGGCCTGGACCTAAATCCCATCAGCAAAGCTGACTAAGGTGGTCTGAGATACGTTCTTACTCCTAAACTCGAACTTTAAAGTTCTAATAATTCCCAGGGGTCCAAGCCAAAGGCTCCCTGGCCTTTTTGAATTATGCATCCCAAAGAAAACATGACACTCCAGGGTGTCTAGATAGCAAGTCACCTAAATTAAAGCCTCAGCATAAAAAAAACAAAGACAACAAACTTACCCTATGAAACAGATACACCATTCAAGGACCCATCATCTAAACTTTTCTAGGCAAGTTGCCAGTGATTCAGACTCAGCGGGCTTGTGGGTGATTTTTTCCTTACTGTTATGTTTGTGGAGTAGGAAAAACTAGAAAGGAAAAAAAAAAAAAAAATCTCAAAGGTTGAAAAACTGTATCCAAATGGAAAAAGAATATATTCCAGACAAAAGAAGGAAAAATATAATAGGACCCACTCCTCCGCTTCAAGCTGAAGAGTGTACAAATGCTACTCACTTGCAGGAAGAAGAGATCAACAGAACATTCACCTTAAGAAGAAAATTCTTCTAGACCTAGCAGACACTGAAGGTATTTTCTCTCAGTTTCTAAATAAAAGAAACATAAAAGGTCAAATATTTTAAATTACTTTCTCAACCAGACAGTTCTTGTGATTTGAATGATATCTGCTGAGAATCAAAGAAACACAAGATTCTATAAAACTCCAGGGAAGTTTACAAAGCTGAAGGCTGAGGGTGTCAGGCCTGCGTCCTGCCTGAGAGGGCAGCCAAGCCAACTCTGGACCCACACATTCCTGAGCCAGATGCCAGGAGCTCACCCACAGCATGGGGAAGACCTGTCCCCAGCATCCCACTCTTGCCCTCAAGCTGACTGTGGAACACGAGACAGCTTTTCAAAGACAAGAGGACAGGAAGGCAGTTAAGCAAGTACCTGTTTCCAAGATAGCCTGAGCTGTCTAGTGCTAATGGCAGACAGCAGGGGTGTTCCAGGCCAACACTTCCTCCCTCCTCTCATATCCCAGACCTGGCCGTGTGTGGACCTCACCAGCCAACCAAGCTGTTGGGCCTGGGCATGGGTGCTGATAAAATATGACAGACCTGGAAAACACTCTGGATTCTGCAGCTTCACTAGGAACTAACAAGGCACCTAGAGACCTCACAAGCTAATGGCAGTCGCTGGAGCAGGAAGCAACTTGTTATTCTGCTCAAGAGAATCTATCAGCAGTTCTTAGCCTAGAAACCTTTTTCCCCTTCCTGATACCTGTTTAATGTCATTATTTCTCTATAAACAAGATCTGGAGAAGATGACAGTCAGGCAGTGGCACAATGACTTCATGACTGCTTTGTTTTGAACACAGATGAGACAATAGGAACCCTTCAATCATCATACTGCCTTGCAGAATTACTAAATTGGTCACATGTCTCCACGCTCTATTCATCTCCTAGGTGCTAAGACCAATCCACAGAAACTGGCACAGAAAGGGATTAGACCTTGGTCCCCCTCTTAGAGCACATGGATAGGTGAGGGATTTCTCATGTGAATCTTCAAGAAAAGGTAAGCCTGGGCCACACGCAGGACATGACACACATAAGGGTTGCTCAGGGCTCATTCACTGCAAGCAAGAATTCACATACATGGGTGCACAAAGGTGTTGGTGCTTGGTCTCCTCAGGCTTAACCCATTGCTGACTCACTAGGACAGCTTCCAAGAGCCACAGATCAAACTGCAAACTTGAAGAGAGCAAGAAGGTTTTCAACCAAGTCACAAAGCTCTCCCAGAAGCACCCGACATAGGGTGGAGGTCAGACACATTCCATGATTGACTGAAGGCATGAGCCTTCCAGCCAGGGGACAGTCACAGGGCCTGAAGGGCTGGGGGTGCCGCCGGCTTCCCAGAGCCAAGCCCTCAGAGCTGGGCCAGCCCTGCCCATGCTGGCTTCAGCTCACGTTGCCAAGGAAGATATGTATCAGGGCTATGCAAGCCGCCACAGTCTTGCTTTTTCACCTCCTTTGGATGGCTGTTTACTTCAAATCAAACTTCGCTGATGAGATTTTAATCTGTAACTGCGTCTGTTCTTCCCAGCTTTATGTGCGGTCAACAAGTATCTTCAGCCTTTCATGACTGTAATCCCTCTTTAAGGCTCCAAATGTATTTTCCTCCCATTCCCTCAGCAGTGTGAAGGAAGGATATCAAAGAGAATCAGAGGGAAAAAATAGGAACTCCACCCAATCAGTGCCAAAATAAACTTTCTCTGAGAATGTCAGTGTTTGCATCCATCTAAAACCACCAGAGGTTCCACCAAATGCTTGAGGGTTTCAGCTATAGTCTCCAGGAACAAATCCAAATGCACATGGCAACTGCAGTTTCTTCAAGTTTTGCTTGAAATGTGAAAACAAATACCATCCCACCAGAACACGGAGAAAAAACTAAGGTCACTCAGCTTTCAAATGCCCAAACCGAACTGATATTGGTCCATACTGAAACTATTAAATGTAAAAATGCTTCCTTCAATTTGCCAAGAGGTCGTTTTAAGGCCCCCAGATATAGACTGTCCTCTGTTTGCATACAGAGGCAATGTAAGACAAATACAGGTATCTTCCCATTCACTGAAGAAAACCCTATTCCCTCCAGAGCTCTCATCACTTCGTGATCTATACATGATGAGAGGTGTGACCACACATTCCATCAACTAGAAAGTGTCCATGGTGCCACTTCCAGTTCCTAATTAAATACAAGGAGAACATTTACACAACCAAAGGGGAGACTCATGGCACAAAGGATATTACATATTACAGGGACATAAATAATTCTGAAGAATCTACCACAAAGATGCAAATTAAGTCCTAAGTCACTCTGTGGCGTTTCATCCTTTTTGGTCATTCCTCTGCCTTTAGTTTCAATGACTTCAGAACTGTTTCTTGCAGCTGACAACACATCCTCAGGAGGCTGACTACCTGTCCCTGCTTTCACCATATGATCAAGTGGTCTTACTGAAGTGACTTGGGAAAACTTGGTCAACAAGCCCGCCTGAATGGTACCTTTGTTTTCAATCTCACTTCAAAGGCGGCCTTTTCTGGAGGCCAAGTAACATGATTCCCAGCAGGAGATTTCTGATAAAGCTCAGGGTGGTCCTTCCAAGTGGGCCCCATTTAATGCAAGGCTGAGTCTGTGGCCCTATTTTAAAAGGAACTCTCAAAGGGAGATAAGCCCAATTTTGACTTTGCAAACACACTCAACAGACCCACCAGGCAGCACACTCAGGCTGTGGGAACAGAGGGGAGGTGAGTTGCCAACAGGGTAGCAGGGTCAGCCTGAGGCAGACATGGTGCTCAGTCACATAGCCTGGGCCACTGCTCTGAACTCAGATCGTACTGAAGGTGTTGGTGCAGGGAACTAACCCCATCTCTGACCCCCAGCCCAGCAGTGTTGCCTGATCAACACTGTGAGATCAGACGCTGTCCTTTTCTGGGGAATGAGACGCCACATGTGCATAAGGGGACGCTTTCTCACACAGAACCGCCCCCAACTGCCCCCTCGGAGTTATACACTGCTAAAGCTGTTAACATTTGTCAGCACTTGGTCTTGGGGATTTCTCCACGTTACTGCAAAATCTTCCTGCCAGTGTTTTTTTTATGGTGAGGGCTAAACACAAAATGTTAGAACTAGAGTGAGGTTTGTAAACATTAACAACAGTTCAAAGAGTGAAAACCTGACAAACTAAAATAATTTTTCCATAAAAGATATAATTAATCTCTAATTTTTTAAAAAAACTACAGCATCATGGGGACTCACTGAGCTCATCCACCTCTCACAATAATCTTCACTTTATCAAGAATCAATCAGAAACCTTAAGTAGCTAGGATTTTCCCCACAACAACTCCCAGGAATGATGTCTGTACTTACAACACTGAGGTGCCCAAAGTGACAATTAGTGCCTTCTGAAACATGGGTGGAAGAGTGTGTTCTGGTGCAAATTCAAGTATTTTCAAATCCTAGACAAATCTCAGAATCACTTTAGAACTCTTTGCAGGTATTTAGAAAATTAGTACACATCCCTAAAATAGAGGGTGTGTGAGGGTGTGTGTGTGTGTGTGTGTGTGTGTGTGTGTGCGCGCGCGCATGCATGCTGTTTTTTAACACAAACTTATACCTCCCACCTGCAGTCCATGAAGCCAGCAAATGGGCAATTGCTTTGGCTGCTGGAATAGGCTTATTTTGTTCATGGCTTTTACCAGAGCAGGTAAAATTACTGAAAATCTGCATTTCAGCCTCAAAATATTTAGGGTAGGAAGGAAACTGGAAAACAAGATGGTCCCCAAATTCCTGAAGAATCTGGGGTTTGGGAAAGTGATTCATTTGAGGAAGAATCAAGTGATTTCTCAGCAGAGTAGGAAACAAAAGGTCACCCTCCAATGAGTCAGAGGTCCCTGGAAGCCATCCTAACAGGACATCAGTTTTCCCCAGTCCTGTGGCTTTTGGGCTAGTGCTGGCTGCCTGGGGGCCCCGGCATGGAAGACTAGGAGTGGGGTGGATCTCGGCAGCCAGACTCAACACTGACTTGGAGCAGGTGATGCCTAAGGCTGCCTGAGAACAGCTGCCGAATGACCATTCCAATGCTGTCCCTTCATTCCTTCACATTTCCCCCCTTAGCAGCCCCATTTAATCCAAAGTCTTGTTACAAATACACTACAGGGTGGCTCAGAGTCAAAGGAAAGCCTGTGCTTTGGGGCAGGTAAGACCTCAAGTGAACCTGGGCAGTGACACCGGCTGCTCCCACAGCCCCAAACACTAGGGAACGTGGCCTCCTGACTCCACCACGGAACTGCTCACTGGGCCATTCAGGAAACCCTTTCCCAAAATGAACTTTTACCAAAGAGGACAAAATTCAACAGAATCACATGGAAATCTGACACGATGAGGGAAAGAAAACTTGACTGAGAGACAGGCACAAGGATGGGAGGGAGGAGGGTCCAGGCAGATCCTCACGTGTCCAGGCGCTGGATCTCGGGGCGACTGTCCACGTCCCTGGACTCCGTGCGGGCTCGGATGTAGTCATTGGTGCTCTGCTGGTGGACGCTGACTCTCCATTTCTGCACTGCCAGGAATGTGTTCACTCCATATGCCGCAGTTGCCAAGAAGCCAAATATCTAAAACACACCAGTATAGTTAGTCCTCAGGCACGTGGCCTAGCCCCTCAAAGCTTCTGCTCTGCCAACTGACCATTACAATCTTCTGCCTCCATTCCTTGATCTTTTCCCCCTCTCAGAAGCCCCACTCAGAAGTCTTATTTCAAATACATATGACAGGGTGGCTCAGAGTCAAAGGGAGGCCCGTGTCCCCACCCCATACCTGCCTCTCACCTGGGCAGCTCGAAGTGAGCAGCTCACTCCAGAGTGAGAAGCACAGGGTTTAAATTATTTGGTAAGACTTGAGACATCTCCTGAGTGGCACCTGGGAGAGTAGCTAGTTTAATCGTTTATAAACCTTTTAATCTCCCCATTACAAAAATGATGCCTGTTCCTTGTAAACTGAGAACAACGCAGAAACCCAAGACATAAGAGAGGGAAAGTCCTACATTATCTGGTCCCCACCACCATGGCATTTCCACCTTAAAATGTCATGTAACTGCTAAACAGTGTCATGACTGCATTCAAGAACCTCCATTCCCCAAGCAGGTAAGGCTCTTCAACAACATCACTGACAGATATCAAGGACTGTGTTGGAAACTAACTAAAGCAGGGGATCTTGAACTTCAGTGAGCATCTGAATCATCCAGAGGGCTCATTCAAATACATTTCTGACTCAGTAGCTCTGGAGTGGAGCCTAAGGACATCTAACAGATGCCAAGGATGCTGTTCTGGGGCCAATACTTTAAGAACCACAGCACTGAAGGGACTGGGACCCCCACTGGCCCAGTAACATCATCTTTAGCAATGGAAAAGCCACAGGAGGACAAGCAGGACACATGCCAGGGACAGGCGGGCAGGTCACAGGAGGTCCCCAGATCAGCCTGCTTGAACCATTTGAGTTTGCTTACCACGGCAGATATTTCTGCTCCGGTTCTGTGGTTTAAAGCAGCCAGTACGATTGAAGCAATAAAGAAAAAGAAAGTGCTGAGTCCAGTGTTGACCAAATCCTAAAGACAGAGACAAAATAAAACTACGTGAAAAGAACCATTCCATCTTTGCTCTAAAAGCAACTAAAGAACTTTCAAAATAAGACCCGCAATACCCAACCTCCCTGGTGGCTCCATATTTCAGTCTCAGTGTCACAGGGTGACTGGTCACACAAAGGAAGGCAAAGTTAACGGTTTATGACACTACTTGATAAATCACCACAACAAAATCTACATTTTCACCAACCCCATTACCCTTTCTGAAGAAATAGTAACCCAAACTGCTAACACTAATTACCACTGAGAAGTCTAGTGCCATCTTTTAAAAACCACACTCAAATCATCTTGCTATGTGCACAAAGCTCCCCAAGGGTCCAAATGTAGGAAATCCCACCAGCATTCCCCACACACGTGTGACATTCAAAACTGTTTCACACACAGAGAACACACTTAGCCAGACCTCACACTCTTTCTCAAGCAGTCTTTCAAGCCTCCATGTCACTAAAGCCTGGAGGATTTTCTCCTGAGCTTCTTGCACAGCACACATCCAGCGTTTCACAGATTTAACTCTTGTCTTACTTGTGGAAGGAAACATAGCGTGGTGATGAAAGGTCACAGCCTGAGCAGGCTCCAAACCACCCATATGACTTTGACAAGCTACTTTGTTTCTGTACTTTATGTGAGAATAGTGCCCCCTTCCTCCCAACGCTGTTTAAGGAATTACATAGAACCATACCCATGAACAGCCCAGCATGGTGTCTGGCCCACAGCTTGGGTCGCCTAGACATTTACTGTCACTTCTGTTATTACCACTTTGGCATTAGGCCCCCAGTAGGCTGGCTCATACCACAATACCTCTAAAACCTCTATAGGAAAAGAAAATTCAGGACAAAGCCCAAACTGCCTGAGTGCCAGGCTGACTACACTATCAACATCTGATGGGTCCTCTGGTGTGGCCTGGCTCCAAGGCTAATTTCCTCTTTTTAAAGATATAAAGACACCCAGGCATGGTGACTCACGCCTGTAATCCCAGCACTTTGAGAGGCCACGGCGGGTGGATCACATGAGGTCAGGTGTTCGAGACCAGCCCGGCCAACATGGTGAAACCCTATCTCTACTAAAAATACAAAAATTAGTTGGGCATGGTGGTGTATGCCTGTAATCCCAGCTACTTGGGTAGCTGAAGCATAAGAATCGCTGGAACCTGGGAGGCGGAGGTTGCAGTAAGCTGAGATCGTGCCACTGTACTCCAGCCTGGGTGACAGAGAGAGATTCTGTCTCAATAAAATAATAAAATAAGATGTAAAGAGACAATGCTGGCATCATCAGTGCTGAGCCTTGCAGCAGACACCAACCCTGCTCCTGGCTCATGGAAAGCTCTGCTCAGATGCATCTGCCAGCAGATACACAGGTTTCAGCTATGATCTGCATAAGCCAGGGCAAATTTTTCACAAATTCAAACCAGGAAGTATTTAGTTATGCTCAGCTCTGGGTAAGATGCTGTAGGGGTAAAAATATATATATAAAATATACTTCCCAAGGCAAAGACTATTCAGAAATCAGGGAAAAATATAATACACTGTGAGGTCAAATATCAAATAAAATAGTATCGACATTAACAGTGACAACCTAAAAACAGAGATGGCGGCAAAGGGCTAGAAAACAAACAGGCAAAAATTTTAAAGTTGTAGGAGTATCAGCAGTTTTAAATTTGTTTTAGTAATGATCATTAAGAATAGTGAATGGAGAATGAGATGATGAATGTAATCAGTGAATACAGGGGAAAAACATTCAAAAATCCTATTTTAAAAAGACAAAAAATAATCTTCCAACATGATCTGAGACTAAGGGACCAGATTAAACCAGGGGAAAAATGCCAGCAATTGCTAATAAGAGCATAGCACATCAGCCTCCTCAAATCCCACTGAGCTAAATTTAAATACCGAAGCACTTGCTTAAAAGATGAATCTAATTGAGCATCCAGGGCTATGCTGTTCAATAGGGCAAACAGTAGCCATGTGTGACTAAAGTTAAACTAATTTACATAAGATAAAAAATTCTGTTCTTCAATCACACTAGCCACAATTCACGTGCTCAGTAGCCATGTGTGACAAGTTGCCACCTCAAGGGCAGAGCAGATAAGAAAACATTTCAATTGCCAGAGAAGCTGCTATGGCACCACACTGCCCTGAAACCAGTAACTAGGTCACAAAGAAGACAGGGAAAGAAGGACCTGCAAAACACTACCACAAGGTTGCACACAGCCAACTCCAACTGCAGGACCCTCTAGAGGATAAATGACCCAGTTTTTTCTAACAAGTTGAATAAAAAGAAAAGGGTCAGGGAGCAGGCATGGTGGCTCACACCTGTAATCCCAGCACTTTGGGGGGCCAAAGCAATTGGATCACCTGAGGTCAGGAGATCAAGACCAGCCTGGCAAACACAGTGAAACCCTATCTCTACTAAAAATATAAAAATTAGCTTAGGCCAGGAGCAGTGGCTCATTCCTATAATCCCAGCACTTTGGGAGGCCGAGGCGGTGTTGCCTGAGCTCAGGAGTTCGAGACCACCCTAGGCAACATGAAGAAACCCCAGCTCTACTAAAACACAAAAAATTAGCCAGGCAGTGTGCACATGTAGTCCCAGCTACTCAGCAGGCTGAGGCAAGAGAAACACTAGAGGCCAGTAGATGGAGGTTACAGTGAGCTGAGATCATGCCACTGCATTCCAGCCTGGGTGACAGAGTGAGACTCCATCTAAAAAAAAAAAAAAAAAAAAAAAGTTAGCTGGGCATGGTAGCGTGCACCTATAGTCCCAGCTACTCAGGAGGCTGAGGCAGGAGAATTGTTTGAACCTGGGAGGTGGAGGTTGCAGTGAACCCAGATTGCACCACTGCACTCCAGCCTGAGTAACAGAGGGAGACTCTATCTCAAAAAAAAAAAAAAGAACAAAAAAAGGGGAGGAGGTAAAGGAGCCATTTGTGGGGCATGGGGGTGGGTCCTGCAGACCCTGACTCAGCAACAGATGATAAATTTATTCACACACAGAATACAGTGAATGAGCAGGCTAGGTGTCTGTGGCCACTGACAGACTCCTTGGAGAATGCTATAAAGAGATAGCAGCCACCGGCCTTCCTCAGTCAATGAGACTTGCATTTATTCAGTAAAGTTTAATTGACAAAGGCTTGAGTCAACACTACTAAAAGCTGAAGATTAAAGGACAGGTTCCAATGCCTAAAGCAAACACCAGTAGAGGGTAATCTCCTTGGTCAACCTCCCGCTGAGAGGGCTGTCTGGCTCAAAGGTTAGTTTTAAGACTACATGAGTAAACAAGTTATACAGATAAACTCCTCTATATACTTTAGTTATTTGTTTTTCTTATTAATTAAATGTAAAGGGGATTTAGGCTGCCTTTGGTTGAAACTTCTACTGAAACTATGCAAAATTCTTGGCCTTCCAAGAAGGTTTGCAACTATATTCTGTAACTTTCTCTAATATTTTTCTTTAATATTTTTGCCACCACCCTGAGTGAATCCCCACAGCAGGGACCTTGCTTGGATCAAGATTTGAACAAAACAAATGAAAACAACATTGTAAGACAAAGGGGAAATCTGAATATGAACTGGATATTAAATAAAATTAAATATTGCTAATTCTGTTGGGTAAGACAATGGAATAGTGCCATTTAAAACATAGTGCTGTATTTTAAAAGGAAAGATAGTGAGGAAACAAAGGACAATGCTAAGCAACTATTGAAAAAATACTTTTAAAAATGTGTATTCCTACCTAATATCTTAAACCAAAATAAATCAAAGAGAATAAAAATTACATTTAAAAAAGCAAAACCACAAAAGTATATGTGTGTGTTTAAATAACCCTGGTCAAGAAGAACTTTCTAAGCATTGTACCAAACACAGAAACCTTCAAGTGCAATCTTGACAAATATTATGACTTAAATTACTATTTGACAAAATGGTCAATATCGGCCGGGCACAGTGGCTCATGCCTATAATCTTAGCACTCCGGGAGACTGAGGTGGGCCGATCACTTGAGGTCAGGAGTTTGAGACCACCCTGGCCAACATGGTGAACCACCGTCTCTACTAAAAAAATACAAAAAATTAGCTGGATGTGGTGGTGGGCACCTGCAGTCCCACCTACTGAGGAGGCTGAGTCAGGAGAATCGCTGAATTCTGGGAGACAGAGGTTGCAGTGAGCGGATATTGCATCCCAGCCTGGGTGACAGAGCAAGATTGTTTCCCCCCGCCCCCTAAAAAAAGGCCAGGCGCAGTGGCTCATGTCTATAATCAGCGCACTTTGGGAGGCTGAGGCAGGCAGATCACCTAAGGTCAGGAGTTCAAGATCAGCCTGGCCAATATTGGTGAAAGCCCATCTCTACTAAAATACAAAAATTAGCCAGGCATGATAGTGGGTGCCTGTAATCCCAGCTACTCAGGAGACAGACAGAAGAATCACTTGAAGCCGGGAGACAGCGGTTGCAGTAAGCTGAGATCACACCACTGCACTCCAGCCTGAGTAGCTGAGCAAGACTCCATCTCAAAAAAAAATTAAAAAAAAAAAAACCAACTGAGTATCTTTAGTTTATAAATAGCTCTTGCATACTGAGAAAAAGTAACAAAGTGAGGAAAGGACATAAGCAATTTGAAAAAGAATCATAAATGGTTAATAAGCAGGAATAAATATTCGAATTTACTTATGGCCAAATAAATGAAATTTAAATTGGCAATCATATACTATTCATCTGCGGGACTAGCAGACTATACACTTAGGGTAAGTACGTGTGTTGGAGCAAGTGAGAAGACTGGCAAGCAGGGCTTCAATGACACAACTTCCTGGAAAACCACTGACAAAAGGTAATCAAGGGTTTTAAAGAGGTTCATGTCATTTACCTATGAATCCCACACCTGGAAATCCATCTTAAATATCATAGTGGGGGCCAGGAGTGGTGACTCATACCTGTAATCCCAGCACTTTGGGAGGCCAAAGCAGGGGAATTACCTGA